CTGACCTTTTCGCATCCTGTGGCAGTCAATAACCTGGCTGCTAGATGCGATGCAGTGCCTGCCACTGATTTTGATTTGGGAGTCGTTTAACCTTGAACTAAGCTCCAATAACCACAGCAACAGGAAGTCAGCTTCTGCATCGGAGGGTTAGGAATCCATAAATCAAGTCCCTAATGCAAACACGGTGTGCAGGTGGAGGTTTGAGGGGATAAGTGGCCTATGAGAAATTACCTTCGAAAAATGAGTGACTGTCCCTCAGCAGGCTACAACACAGTTTCAAAGACTTTTCTTTTTTTTCTTCTCTTTTTTTAATTTATCAATAGAGGTCAACAGGTTACAGCAGAATGTTTTTATATAGGCTGAACTTTTTTATTTCCTCTTGGCTCTGTCTTAATTATGAACAGATGTTGGATCTACAAGTTATTAGCATTGTTATTTCCTCCTTTAAAAATGTACTGGCCTCCAAATATGCAAACCTTAGTGCAATTTGTCCTGTGTTGGGGTTTGGGGATGCTCAGAACACATATCAAGCATGCTGTTCATATAGTCTGCTTTCTGAATATGAGACAGTGATCTCTTCCTGGTTCAAAGCCACCCTAGCAGATGATATCTGGGTTTCTTTCTGATCAACTTCCAGCTTCAAAAAGCTCCCTCCTGTGGGGAGAGGGAAGCCAGACTTTTGCTAGGAGGAAACTTTCTAAATGTCCCACCAGTCCACCCTTACCACCCACTCCTGAGGACTTGATTCTGAGCTGTTCAAAGTTCCTCTGGTCGTTTGAGTACCTCTCCATAGGGCATCAGCCACTACTTGGAATGAAGGGAAGTGAAGACTTCCAATGGCTAGCCTGCCCCACGCTCTCTTCCAAGGACAGGACACCCATTTGCAGTCTGGAGACCTTTGCTCTTGGAGAAATATTGTGGATTGCAAGTGCTATTAGATTAACATTTGCTTAAAGCTTATCTATTATTCTTGCCCATGTGTATTATTTCTAGGATTGTTTCTGTAATCCTCTCAAAACCCAAGAATATATCAGAAAAAGTCAGAGCCTTTTTTTTTTTTCAATTTATTTTCAAATTCATTGCATGACAACTAGCAAGCAATATTATAATCTAGAAAATCCTAAATTGCCCAGGGTTTTTGAGACAACTAAATAGTGACAATCTGAATTATAGGGTGTTTTAAGTGCCATTTTATTACTTTTCTGTAACATAAACACATGAGTAGCAAAGTATGCCTGATAGAGATATGATCGGATCAACTTTAAAGAAATGATGTGGACTGAGACTAATTTGGATTCTGAACATTTGCATGAAAATGGGTACAACTAAAATGACTAGAAATCAATTTATTCCCAAGTGAGTGTTAAATATCTGCCTACTAATCCTGTTTATGGCCTTCATTCCCTCAGCATGCCATAATTTAAGCTAAGCTCTACCTGCCCAACCTGTGTCCACAGGTACAGAGATATTGGATCAGTGAGTTTTTCCAAAGGAGCTCTTATTCTGACAGCTTAGAGTTTCAGGGGTGTGTTAGAGAAAGTTTGCCTACAACTACTTGACAAGGATACTGCTGTGGAGCAGCAGAGAACCCAAATGGGGAATTTCCCTCAGACTCATGCCCACTGTCCCTGTTACCAGATTGGTTAGCAGCCAATCATTAAAGCCCATCAGTCAGTCTGCCCCAATGCCCATACTCTGATGGAGTTCTAGAATTTTTTTCCAAACTATGCTTATTTTCCCAATGTAATTGGCAAAGAATATTGAGTATACTGTGGACTGCCAGAAGAATGAACAAATCAGTCTTAGAAGAAATACAACCAGAGTGCTCTTTAAAAGCAAGGATGACAAGACTTCAGCTTATTTGCTTCGTACACATCATCAGGAAAGACCAATCTTTAATAAAAAAGAACATCATGGTTGGTAAAACGGAAGGTCAGCGAAGGCAAAGGAGGCCCTCAGTGGAGATGATGGACACAGTGGCCAAAGCAATGGACTCAAACATAGCAACAATCATGAAGAATGCACAGGATTGGGCAATGTTTTGTTCTGTTATACATCGGGTCACTATGACTCAGAGCAGTCTTGACTAACAAAAAAATAAAAAGGCTTAATACATGTTTGTGGTTTAAAAAAAAATATCAAGGAAAAAAAACCACCAAGCTTTCCAGTATTCTTCTTCCTCAGAACACCCGCTGTGTCTCTTTACAGATGATTTTCAGTGCATTTTACATATATGACATGCCTGTACCCTGTCTATCACTAGCATACCTGTGTTTTTTTACTAAGAAGGAACACTATACACGTTCACTGCATTTTCTTGATTGTTATGCCTTACAATCTTGTTTTCTGTCATGGAATTCAATGTTTGTCTTTCTCCACCTTCAAAATGCAATGAAGTTTAAAATACCGAAGAGTATAATTGCTATTGTTATTCACAGCATCTCAGGCTGAAGTCTCAGAGACTGGGATGGAGAGTTGTCGTCGTTAGCTGGCATTGAGTTGATCCCCAACTCATGGGAGACCCAGGCACCATGGGATGGGACCGTTGTGATCCATAGGGTTTTCATTGGCTGATTTTTGGAAGTAGATCAACGGGCATGTCTTCCTAGTCTGCCTTAGTCTGGGAGCTCTGCTGAAACCTGTTCAGGATCATAGCAACATACAAGCCTCCACTGACAGACAGGTGATGACTGCACTTGAGGGCCACTGGTCAAGAATGGAGCCCAGGTCTCCTGCATGGAAGGTGAGAATTCTAGCACTGAGCCACCATTGCCTTGGAAATGGTGGAAAGTAGGAGGAAGATATTAGAAAAGGCAAATGAAAATGTCAGCATGACTTTCTTCCTTAGCTGGTGTCTTAGTTATCTAGTGCTACTATAACAGAAATACCGCAAGTGAATGGCTTTAACAAACAGAAATTTATTTTCTCGTAGTTTAGGAGGCTAGAAGTCTGAATTCATGGTGCCCTCTCCAGAGGAAGGTTTTCTCTCTGTCGGCTCTGGGGGAAGTCCTTGATCCTTGGTTCCTTGTGTCTTGGCCTCTATCTTCCACCATCTCTGCTTCTCTTGATTGCTTGTTGAATCTCTTTTATATCTCAAAAAAAAATTGACTTAGGATACACCTTACACCAGTACTGTCTCATTAGCATAACAAAGATACGAGGCCCTCTGTGTCCTAATGTGAAACATGCTGTCAGCTGCCTGGGGGCGTTGACAGGTTTTAGAGGACAGCCATTCAGACCAGGAAGAAGATCTTGGGTTTAGCATCTGGCTACTTGGGAACTTCAAGTTCAGACCTTAAGAGTCATGTGAGTTTAGTTGCTTCTCTGTAAATCTCTCAGAAATGTATTCTCCTCATAGGGTTGCTTATGAGTCGGACTCAACAGAACAGCAATGGGTTCATCTTTAAAACTGAGAACACAATAATATTTTCTATATTATTTCACTGTATGTTTCAAAGGTTTGTCATGAGGCCCAAATGAAGCCAATCTCACTGTAGGGGTGAGAGACTGCTGCTCTAGGAGGGGACTACCATTCAGGTTGGTTGAAATGGAAAAAAAATTCAAGAACTACTGCAGTATAGTACCAATGTGTTACTGTTGTTGCTGCTCCTTTGTTATCTTACGCCCGCAATGGCACGCAGCCAGTAAATGAAGAAACTCTTACTACATGGCCATTTGACATGAACTCAGACACCCTCAGCCTCTGGACCTATGCTTGGATAAGATGGAGAGCCATTTTTTTTTTTTTTTTTTTTTCTTTTTGATGTTGAGCTTGTAGAAGGCGCCTAGGAGTCCTTGGCCATGTCTAGTGAGTGGGAGACAACTGAGCCTTTGACTGCTGGTTGCATTGGACCAGAGGAAGTAGCAGGTTTTAATAATGAGAGCAGGAATGATAGGAATAGCAATAATGGTAAACAGACAGCAGGGACTCTGTGCCAGACACTATTCTCAGCACGTTACATGTACTGACTCATTGGATGCTCACAACAACCCCTAGGAAGTAGTACCGTCACTGCCCCATTTTTACAGTTAAGGAAACTGAAAACTTGGAGAGGTTAAGTAACTTGCTCATGATCACACAGCTGGAAAGTGGCAGAGCCTGGATGCAAGCCAAGGAAGCAAGGTTCCAGAACAGCTCTTATAGTTTGTTATATAGTAAATCTCCAGGCCCTTGCAGAGGCACCTCACAAGAGTTTACCTAGGCTTTTCAGCATCCTAAAGACATGACTTAGGACGCATTTGATGACCAGACTCCCAGAGGCCCTCAAATCAGCCCTCACTTGGTCTAGCGATTGTTACCGCACACCCATCCGTCCCCACAGTGGCCCTCCCACCTCCAGCAGGCTGGTGTCTTGCCTGGATCATGTTCATTCTCCATCCATGGCTTAGTTTATGATCTTCTCACCTCCAAGAGTACCTTTCCCTCAGCCTCACTGCTGTTCCAGCTGGAGCTCCTCAAAGCCTTCCCTCACTTCTTTCATGTTAATGTCCACATTCTTAGGCTACCTGAGCATGTAGGATGGATAACACACAAGCCAGCACTTACTTGTTGCCTAGTTCTTACTGCTCACTTACTGTTGTCTTCCCAGCTGAGTGAGATGAGAAGCCTCATGGGGTAGGAGCCTTATGTGGGGCTGATCCTCCTCCACCCTGCACCCCCTTCATGCCACACACAATGCAGCCTCTGTAAAGATGGGCTCTCGGACCCTCTGAAGGCCAAGGTGTGGCTGACGGGTTCTCTTGCTTCATCAGGCCCAGCCCCTTCTTCCAGGCAACCATCCAGGAACATTGTCACTCCTCACCTGAATCACAAAACCAAAACCAGTTGTGCTGCTTTTTTTTTTTTTTTTTTTTGCTTTGAACATTCTAAAATTTCATTTTCATTATACCAGAAGGAGGTCAAGTCGTTTAACTATCTCCTCAGATCACTTTCAGGTTTTATATTGTTTGACTTCCTGTTCTTTCAAGTAACTGAAGGCTTTGGGGTTGTTGTTTTGTAGGGATGCCAAGTCCCCACTTAAAAGCAGACCAGACCCCAGCGCACAGTAAGAACGAGGTCTCAGTGTCCACCATGATGACCAGGAAGAAGCCAGCTGCGGTTGACAGTGTTGCGATTCCACCGACCCCAGTGTTATCTCTCCTGGCTGCATCTGCAGCAACTTCAGACGCAGGTGAGCACTTTTCAAATGTTTTGGGTTCTCCCCTGTGAAGGTGGGTACGGAGAAGGCCCGCTGAGAATGTTCTACCTAATACACGTGAGAGTTCTCTGCTTAACTAACCTTCTGTAGACACTGGGCTTTTGTCGTTGTTTGTTGCCATCAAGCTGGCTTTTACTCACGGCAACCTGATGTGTAACAGAACGAAATGTTGCCCTGTCCTGTGCCGTCTTCATGATCATTGGTATATTTGAGTCCATTGTTGTGGCGATTGTGTCAATCCAAAGCATGTGAGGTAGTTCAGCACTGTATTTTTCAAGGTTGTAGGAAGTCTGAGAGAGGAAAGAGTTCATCTGGGAACCTGGAGGCAAGGGGACTTTGATTAAGCTTTAGAGATCATTCTAATACTGGTCCAGTGAGTAACAATTAAATAGTAACAGTAGTAATTACTTTTTATCTAGCCTTGCTTATTACTAATCTCTGCATCAAGGGCCTTACGTGTGTAATCTCGTAGAACTCTTAACAGAACTCTGTGAAATAAATACTTTTATCCTCATTTTCAGAAGAGGAAGCTAAGAGGTAACAGCCCTGACCCAGGATGCTGTGGTCAGTCAGGATCCCAACTCAAGTCCAAAGCCCATGCTCTCAACCACTGTGGCTCACTACCTCCCTTGCTGACCAGACTTGGGAGACTGAGTTTCCCTGAGGTCTTTCTTCATTCCCCCATCCCCATGATTCATAAAAGCCTCAATAGTCACCAGACGCCTCTCTGGTGGTCAATAAACTATGAACTCCTTATTCAGCCACCCCAGGTTCTCTGCATGTGGCCCTTCCACCTCTGTCCTCCTCTACTCCCCACACTATCTCCCACCAGCCTCTATACCAAACTCCACTTTGCTAAGCTCCCCTGCCACCAGGAAGGCAGACCTCAGACTTGGCTTAATGCTTGTCCTTGGCAACAGCCTTATTCAATTCTGATTCACATTCTACAGATCTTCAAGCCCAGCCAGTCACAGCTTCTCTGAGCCCCTATAATATCCAGTGTCTTTACCACTCATTTACCACCTGCTCGTAAACTACATTGAGAAATATCTTCTCTTCAACTTCTCCCCTATAACAAAATTGTATGTACCTCAAAGGCAGAGTCCATGGTCTAGTTTCTTGTTATCTTCCCCGCACACAGAATGATGGCATGTTCCTTAAACATTTGTTGAATTAACGCATTAGTAAATGTTAAGCATACTGCAGCATTTAGAAGTGCCTGTTATGGTTGGAGGCTCAAGAAGAGACTCATTACTGATATTCAGTCCAAACTCATCTTCTAATTCAGCAGGTTGCTTTGAGCAGAGAACTCAACCTGTCTATTTGCCTGCCTCCATCATGGAAATCACTGGTAATCAGAAAATTGAGCCCTATTGATGTAACAGAAAGAAATATTTAGAATGATACTTTTCAAATTGTTTTCAACAAAATATTAATAGATGCTTTGTGGGAAAAAATGTTTTTGTTGTTAAGTGTCAAGAATGGTATTAAACTTGCTTCCTTCCTGCAGGAATTTTCAGAGCCTTTAATTGACCAGTGTGTACTGTGAGGCTCCAAGAGGGGGACAGGTAGAATTTCACAATCTTCTTTGGCCCCAAAGGTCATTTTTCTAGGAATCCCTCTTAACAGCTCTTGGAAATGGTGTTCTCTCAGGCAGTTTGGAAAATCTTGCTCTGAGAGAATGGGTTTGTCTCTCAAATTTCATAATGAGTCTTCACGACTTTCATATACTAGGAGCAAAATGAAAGTTTTTGTTGGAAATGCCAGGTAAAATGGCACCAGTATAACAGGAGGCTAGAGGAAGGGCAGTCACAGAAGTCAGTGGAAGAAACTGCCCCGAGATTTGTGGAGTGGTAGCATCTTTGTGGGAGAGCATTCCAGGCAGAGAGGGCAGTGTGGGCAGAGTCCTGGAATGGGACTCAGGGAAGACATCATTCGGCTGCAGTGAAAGATGCAGGCCGTGATCTGTACTACACACCCAGATTATTGCTTATTCGACCTTGTCGGTTAAGCACTGGAGACCTCCCTTTATGTATTTAGAAATTAGCCTGTGTGTTTCTGCCTTTGGTTGCCAAGCACAGATATTTCCCAGGGGCAAAAGACAGGTGGTCCCCAATTTTCCTTCCCTGCACTCTTTCCGTTCAGTGTGAGAGAGCTCGTTCTTTGGCTCACATGCGTATATGGGCTTCCTTCCTCTATTGCACTCAGTTAATAATTTACGAATATGCCAAGCAGGCAATAGAAACAGGTGGGTATTAAACTTTTAAACCAGCCTCTCTGGTAATCAGAGCAGAGCCAAAAACTCTTCTGTTTCAGGATGCAGGAATGGACTGTTTGTTTTTTGGCAGTATGAAGTGAGACCCTCATGAGAATTTCACAGCTTTGGTCCATTTCCGGGTCTCAGGCTGCTGAACAGAACTTTCGGGAAAAGAAACAGCCCAGAGATCTACCCCAGGTGCTGGAAGCCAGACTTTCTCGAGGTTCCACTTCCCAAAGATAAACGGCTTCCCACAAACCTGAGAGAGTTCGGAACTCACACTCTGGGCTTGTTTCCAACACTCTTGCTTCACATGTGAAGAAACTGACACCTCCTGAGATTAAATGATTTGTCTGAGGTCACACAATTGGATTGGAACCCAAATTTCCTGATTTACTGCCTGATTTCCAGTGGAATTTCACTTCTATCCTAGGCCAATGTAAGCAAAGGCAGATTTCATTCTCCCTAGCCATGGACTCTTACTCCTGTTGGAGAACAGAGTGTGTGAAACTCTTAATTTGATGGGGTGGGTAACTTTAACCAAAGCCGAGCGCGTACTGTTGTTGTTAGTTACCACTGAGTGGACTCGACTCACAGTAACCTTACATATAACAGAACGAAACATTGTCCGGTCCTGTGCCATCTTCATGATTGTTGATATGTTTGAGTCCATTGTTGTAGCTATTGGGTCAATTCATTTTATTGAGGGTTTCCCAGTTTTGTTGGCCCTCTTCTTTACCAAACATGATGTCCTTTTCTAGCAATTGATCTTTCCTGATGACATGTCCAAATGGTGAGCCAAAGTCTCACCATTCTCACCTCCAAGGAGCATTCTGGTTGTATAGGAGGTAGTTAATAAATAGTTTCTGGGTTTGATTTCATTTAATTGGCTGCTTAGGCAGTAGTCACATACATTTCTGATGAGACAACTCACTTGGTTTTTGTTTTCTTTAGATCCTTTTCTTCATCTTTCACTGTAAGCGAGGCAATTTACAATTACTTCTGGCCAGCTTATTTTCCAGTAGGTCATCCTTTCTATAGGATGGTTTAATGACCCAGACAACTGCAGGGGAAAAAGAAAAGTAAAGCTAAGTGGCTTATAAAAAAACAAAATCAAACCACCGCTGTCGACTCTATTCTGATCATAGCAACCCTATAGGGCAGAGTAGAACTGCCCCATAGAGTTTCCAAGGCTGTGATCTTTACAGAAGCAGACTGTCACATCTTTCTCCCACAGAGCCTCTGGTGGGTTCGATCTACCAACCTTTCAGTTAGCAGCCAAGGGCTTTAACCACTGTACCACGAGGGCTCCTAAGTGGCTTATAAAGCAAAGTTAACTTAAGAAATCACTTATTGAGATAAAAAGAAACTCCAATAGCTCAATTAATTAGAATGTCCTTTCATTTAAAAAAAATGGATGCTAAAGTGCCTAGTACAGATCCTGACACATAGTATAGAAGATGCTCGATAACTAATCACTGAGTGAAATGAATGAGTCAAAGGCAGTAGTTGTGTGCTTATACAGTACTAAACATGGTGAGAGACGTCTGAGCGAAATCAGCTCAGTCCTGGAACCACTTAAACAATCAAATGGAAAACAATTTGAGAGACACATTGTAGACTTTCGGTAAATACTTGCCAAATAATTAATCAGTCTTAGCAATACGTTTTTAAACAGGTGATCTTAGGTGAAAAAAAAAAAATTTTTTTAAGGAACATTTTCCTCTTTGTTTTATACACATTGCAATGTGGGAGAAATGAATGTGGGTCAAAGATTTAAAAATATGTCTTTTATAGCTCAAGAGTATGTGTGTGTGTGTGTGTATGTACAAACCAAATCTCTTGCCATTGAGTCAATTCCGACCCATAGTGATCTTATAGGACAGCGTAGAACTACCCCATACAGTTTCCTAGGCAAAAATCTTCACGGAAACAGATTGCCAGGTCTTTTCTCCTGTGGAGCTGCTGGTGGGTTTGAATTGCCACCTTTTGGTTAACAGCCGAGCGCTTAACCACTGTGCCGCTAGGTCTCCTTGTGTATGTACAAGGGGCCTCAAATTTCTTGTTGTTTAAGGCAATTTTTTAGCTTCTCAGAGTCTGAGAGGGATGTTGACTATGAAATTATTGATTTGTAGACAGGGGCAGGAGAGGAGCTATGGAAAGAGGGTGGCAGGACTAAGAACATGTCAGCCGTGAACTCCTAGGAGGGAGGGATGGCAGTGGCTGCCACCGGTGCTCAAACAGGTCAACCTCTGTGATCAAACTGCTCAATAGTTATTGATCCATTGAGTCCCCTGGTACAGCAAAGGAGGTCTGATTCCAGGGAGCACTGCATAATTATTGTGAGTGATTAAGGCTAATGGAGTAAAAGCTTCAATAAAGTTTGTTCAAAGTGATGCATAATTTGAAACAACGTCTATTACACAAGCCCAGTAATGATTTAATAACCATATCAGATAATCCATACCTGAATAAGTCAGGCTAATTTTTCTGATCTTCTACTTATTGAACAACTTCTCAGGGAGGTCATGCAATATGTGAAGAATTTATGATTTTACTACTGAACTATTCCCTGACACCCTCCTTGTATTGAAAATGAGACTGTATTAACAGGAGACAATGATGCTTCAGTGGTAGAATCCTCATCTCCGTGTGGGAGACCTGGGTTCAGTTCTTGGCAGAAGCACCTCATGTGTAGCTACGACCCATCTGTTAG